CTCTCTCTCTCTCTCTCTCTCTGTGTGTGTGTGTGTGTGTGTGTGTGTGTGTGTGTGTGTGTACACGTGCATGCAGTTACCTGTGGTGGCCAGAAGGAGTCAGATTCCCCGCATCTGGAGTTCTAGGTGACTATGAACCGTCCTGCTCTGGTGCTGAGAACTGAACTCTGTTCCTCCCCAAGAGCAGAAAGCGCTCTTAACCACAGAGCTGTCTCTCCAGCCCCCAAATATATGTTCTTTAAAATGAGAAACACTCACTTTAATGTTTGAATTTAATTCAAATAAAAATTATTAAAAAATTAAATTTTTAAAAAGCACAAAGAGCTCATTTTGTGCTGTTTTGTTTTTTCGATTTTTTACAGTACTGAGAGTGGAATCCAGGGGGGCCGTGGAGCCCAGGGGGGCTCTTACACTAGTCAATCAAGCACTCATCATTTGGGCTACAACACAGCCCAAAGGACTGATTTCATTGTAGTGCAAGTTGTGTGTGTACATGTGTGGTGCATACACATGAATGTGCAGAATTCCCTGCCTGCGTGCACATGCTGAGGGCAGGGGAAGACTTCAGGTTTTCTCTATCAGTTGCCATCTTATGCCCTTGAGACAGGGCCCACACTGAGCCGGAAGCTGGTCCTTCCAGCTAGACTGGCCATCCTGAGGTGCTCTCAGGGTCTACCTGTGTCTACCTCCCAGTGTTGGGACTGTAGGCACACACAGCCATGTCTGGCTTTTTACGTGGGTTTTGGGGATTTGAACTTAAATACAATTACCCCCTGAGGCATCTCCCCTGTCTTTATTTTGTTTTCTACATTTTTGGAGGGGTTTGAGACAGGGTGTCATTGTATCCCAGGCTGGCTTTGAACTCTATAGCTAAAGATGACCTTGAACTCCTGGCCCTCCTGCTTGTACCTCCCAAGAACTGGGATGATGCCTGCTTTACGAGGTGCCGGGGATGGAACCCAGAGCTTTCTGCATGCTAGGCAGGCATGCTAGCAACCAAGCCCAGCCCCAGCCCACACCTGCAATCTTTCAAGCTTTACCATTCTCTTAGAAGTGACCAGAAAGTCTACCATCCCTTCCCTGACAGTCTGGACTTGTTTCAGCGGCCAGAATTCGTCACTTTGGGACACATGTGGTGACTTCACCTCTCCAGTGTCCCCACTGGAACTCCAAACTTTCTCACTGCTTTGAATCTCCGGAAGCAAGGTCTTGTTACTTAGGCAGGCTGACATCATTCTCCTGCCTCCCCTCCTAGGTGCTGGGAGGCAGGGCTTACCAACATGCCCACGATTAACATCTCACTCCTGAAAACTTTTATATACTTTCTGTTCAGGTGTGGTGGAACACACCATTAATCTCAGCACTTGGGAGGCAGAGAAAGGAGGCTCTCTGGGAGTTTGAGGCCAGCCTGGTCTACAGAGTGAGTTCCAGGACAGCCAGAGCTGTGACACAGAGAATCCTTGTCTCAAAAAACAAACACATTTTTTTCCGTGTGTGTGGTGTATGTGTATGTGTGTGAACGCAGGTGTGTACCCGGCTCACTGTGGTCTCAGCACTCAAGCTTCAGGGCTGAGATTGTAGCTGAGGGTTAGTGTGTCCACAAGGCCCTGGGTTTCACACCCGGCACAGGACCAGTGAGAGACTCATCAAGAAAAGGCACTGGCCATCAGGCTTGAAGGTCTGAATCCCATTCCCAGAACTCCAATGGAGGAAGCAAAGAACCCTCTCCCTGGAGTTACTGGCGCTGCGGAGATGGCTGAGCCATAAGGAGCGCTGGCTGCTCTTGCAGAGGACCCCCAGCACCCACATGGCAGCTTGCAACCACCTGTAACCCCAGTTCCAGGGGAACCACCTGTAACCCCAGTTCCAGGGGAACTGACGACCTCTTCTGGTCTTTACAGCCATCTGCACGCACATGTTGCACACAGATCCACGTAAATTACATGAATAAATAAAAAAAAAATTTAAGCTACGCTCAGATTCAGAGCCCTTTGGCTTTTTGGTTCTCAGTCCCGAGAACACTTAGCGTGCACTGGTTGGTTTAACGGTGCTGCAGACCTCGGGGATGTTGGATGATTCGGCAGAGCCTCCGTGACGCTGGAAGCACGCGCCCTCCCCCGCGGCACTCACCAAACATGATGTAGTACTGAGACTTTCCGTTCAGATTCTTCTGGTCCAGGTCGGAGGGGAACACCTTGATGTAGCCGCCCCCGCAGTCCATCTTCTGCTCGTGCTTCACGGTGTACTGGATTACCAACGTCTTCCCTTTGTTGCTGAATGGCTTGAAGCTGGCAGAGATGGCGTAGAATCGGCTGTTCTGGGTTGTCTGCAGGCCTTCCAACAGAAAGTGAGCACGATGGAGTCAGAAGAACACTGCACTGAGCGCCGGGCGGCGATGGCACAGGCCTTTAATCCCAGCACTCGGGAGGCAGAGGCAGGCGGATCTCTGTGAGTTCGAGGCCAGCCTGGTCTACAGAGTGAGATCCAGGACAGGCACCAAAACTACACAGAGAAACCCTGTCTCAAAAAACAAACAAACAAAAAACACAAACAAAGAAACAAAAAACAAAATTGCACTCAGCAACTTGTGGGGACCTCAAATTCATGTCACCAGTGACCCCTCAATAACAGACGTTTGCATTACTCACTGTTCACAAAACAGTCTCAGTGTGCCACAAGTACACCACTAACAAGAACTCTGCTGCCAGAAGCCTGTGCTTCACACACCCACGCGCCTTTGTACTTAAGAAGCATCCTTTGCTTTTACTGGGGCCGGAGAGGTGGCTCAGTGGGCAAAGGCGCTTGCAGTCAAGCCTGACACTTGGGGACCCATGTCATGGAAAGAGGATCAACTCCCAAAAGCTGTCTTCTAATTTCCACATGCACATCATGACACTCGTGCCCCTGTACACTATCACACATGCCTGGCACACACACACAGAGTTTACAAAAATACACTCTTGCTAGGTTCTTGTTGTTTATTTTGGGTCTCACTGTGTAACCCTGGCTGTCCTGGAACTCACGATGTAGAACAGGTTGGCCTCTGCCTCCTGGATGCTTGGATTAAAGCTGCGGGCCACCATACCCAGCAGGGTCGTTTTGTTTTGTTTTGTTAAGATTAGGGACAGATGGCGCATGCTCAGCGCTGGCTCTCCCCCTGGATCACATCCTCAACCCCACCACTGTTATACTTCATGTTATAAAATTACCCACTGGGGATGCAGCTCGGTTGGAAGCTCAGCTGGTGTGTAGAAGCCTGGGGCTCCATCCCCAGAGCCATGTGGGGGGGGGCACACGTGGAGCACTGGGAGGAGACAGGAGGCTCAGCCTCAGCTGCACGGCAGTTCGAGGCCAGCCTGGACCACCCGAAGCCACCTCAACACAACAGGCCAGTAAGATGGCTCAGCAGGTCGAGGAGCTTGCAGCCAGACCTGAGTGGGGTCCTCAGGACCCGCATGGTGGAAGGAGACAACCAACACTCACACACTGTCCTTTGGCCTCCACGTGTGTGTCTTGGCAAGTACACACACACACACACACACACACACACACACACACACACACACACACACACACACACAAAGCAGGGGCTGGAGAGATGCCTGAGAGTGTGAGAGGACCTGAATTTAAGTCCCCAGTGCTTACTTAAAAAAATAAAGCTAGGGGGCTGGAGAGTTGGCTCAGCGGTTAAGAACCCGGGTTGTTCTTCCAGAGGTCCTGAGTGGCTCACAGCCATCTGTAATGAGATCTGGCGCCCTCTTCTGACCTGCAGGCATATGTGCAGGCAGAACACTGTATATGCAATAAAATAAATCTTAAAAAAAAAAATGAACTGTAACTTCATTCCCTGCGCACGCGTGCGCGCGCGCGCGCGCGCGCGTGCGTGCGTGCGTGCGTGCGTGCGTGCGTGTGTGTGTGTGTGTGTGTGTGTGTGCGCGCGCGCGCGTGTGTGTTGGAGACAGGAAGATGGCTGGGGCTCCCTGGCCACCACCCAAATCTCCAGGTTCAGTGAGAGGGCCTGTCTTAAGGAAACAAGGTGGGGAGCGACAGAGCAGGACACCCGTGTCCTCTCTGGTCTCTTCAGTGCACAGACATGTACCTGCCTATACCACACACAGCTCTAGACAGACTACGGGAGAGCTTAGTGCTGCTACCTTAATCTTGATAAGGCGAGAATATACACTATAGAATGAAGGCTGTATTGTTACTGAAGAAAATAAAACACACTTTTTTTTTTTTTTGTAAAGATGGGGTCTCACGTAGCCTCGGCTGGCCTAAAACTCCCCATTTTGCCACATACCTTAGTTTCTGTTGCTGTGATAAACACCGTGACCAAAAGCAATTTCAGGAGGAAAAGGGTTTAATTCCCCTTAGAGCTCATAGTCCGCCATGATGGGAAGTCGGGGCAGGATCCCGGGGCAGGAGCTGAAGCAGAACCATGGAGGAAGGCTGCCTGCTGGAGCTTGCTCAGCCTGCACTCTATATACCCCAGGACCATCATGCCAGGGGTGCCACTGTCCACAATGAATTGGGCCTTCCCACATCAGTCACTAATTAAGAAAATGCCTCAAAGGCTCCTCTACAGGCCAATATTATTGAGGTGTTTTTTTCAATTAAGGGTCCATCATCTCAGATGATCCAAGCTTGTGTCAAGTTGACAAAGGCAGCCCGCATAGCAAGAATGACCTCGTGCTTGTCATCCTCCTGCCTTCACTGCCAGAGTACTACGGCAGGAGTGAGCCATAATGGCCAGGTCCGGGTGTATTGATTTTCCCTTGCTACCTGAAGGCAGTTTAGCTGGACAGGTGTGGTGTCGTATCCTAGCACTCTGGGGGCTGAGACAGATGGATGGTGAATTCCAGGCCAGTCGGGGATACATACTGAGACCCTGTCTCAATCAATCAATCAATCAATCAATCAATCAATCAAACCAGGGGCTGGAGAGATGGCTCAGCAGTTAAGAGCACAGGCTGCTCTTGTTGAAGACCTGGGTTTGAGTCCCAGCACCCACATGGTGGCTCCCAACAGGTTGTAACTCCAGTTCCAGGGAATCCATTGCCCTCTTCTGACTTCCTCAGGCACCACACAGTTGGTGCACAAACATGCAGGCAAGCAAAACATTCTACACATAAATAAAATAAATAATTTAAAATATTAAAATCCAAAATTAATGTGGCTGGTTGAAGTGGCTTGTGTGTTAGATCCCAGAACTGGGGAGGTGGAGGCAGACAGATCTCCATGAGTCTGAAGCTACACTGGTCTACACAGCAAGTCTAGGCCAGTCAGGGATACATAGTGAGACTCTGTCTCAAAATAAACAGCAGAACCCAAAACCAACAAATCAGGTAACCAACCAGCCCCAAACTCCCCAAAACAAACCTGGTATTTTTTATTCTTTCTTTTGTTTTGTTTGGGACAGAGTCTCTTCATAGACCTGGCTATCCCAGAACTCACCATGATCCGCCTGCCTCTGCCTCCCATGTGCTGGGATCAAAGGTGGACACCTGGCTCTTTCAGGTTTTAAAATGACATTTATTTTGTATGTGTGTTAGGGTGAGGGGAGTATGTTGTCATAGCACACATGTGAGGGTCAGGGGACAACTTGTGAGACTCAGGTTTCTGCTTCAACCATGTGGGTCCTAGGGTTCAAACTCAGCGAGTCAGGCACGGTACCAAGCTCCTTTACCCACGAAGCATCTCAACAGCCCGAACTGGGTGTTTATCCACACATCTAGCTCCACTCCAAGCTGGCTCCCCACTCTCACACGGGAGGCAGACCCCCATCCCACCCCGTCACCAGCAGCCAGGCAACCCCAAGAGCCACCTGTCACCTCACCCATCTAAATTCCTCGCATCTTTCCATCTGTGACTGCTGAGTCTCGGTCCCCAGAGACCATGCAGGGAATCCAGATGACCAGAGCCCCAGCCGCCAGGCCTGGTCTGCTGTTCTTACTCAGCAGGGTTTTAGGGGACAGAAAAATCACAACGGGCAGACAGCAGCCACCTCCTCAGGCTCATTTATGCCATGCTGGCTTTCACCCACTTCAGTCATAAAGCTGGGGAGGGGGGTGTTTCTGCTTTTAAAATGATTTCTTTCTTTCTTTCTTTCTTTCTTTCTTTCTTTCTTTCTTTCTTTCTTTCTTTCTTTCTTTCTTTCTTTCTTTCTTTCTTTCTTCCTTCCTTCCTTCCTTCCTTCCTTCCTTCCTTTCTTTCTTTCTTTCTAAAGATTTATTTATTTATTATGTATACAATGTTCTGCCTGCATGTGTGCCTGCAGACCCAAAGAGGACACCAGATCTCATTACAGATGGCTGTGAGCCACCATGTGATTGCTGGGAATTCAGGACCTCTAGAAGAACAGCCAGTGCTCTTATCCTCTGAGCCACCTCTCCAGCCCTTAAAATGATTTTTATATAATAATGTTACTACTTTTTTCTTTCTCCCTCTGAGACAGGGTCTCATTACGAAGCCCTGGCTCTTCTGGAACTCACTCCATAGACCAGGCTGGTCTCAAACTCACAGAGACCCTCCTGTCTCTGCCTCTGGCTTCTTAGCTGGAGTTTCTGACGACCTCTCTTCCTGCAGCTCCCTCCTGATGTTGTCACACACCCAGCTTCTGTGGTGCTGCGCAGGGCTTTGGGCATGCTAGGCAAGACTGAGCCCCAAGCCCATTCTGCGTGGTGGGCATTTTAGACCTAGCGGGTCACCGGACCTGTCTCAATTCTTTGACTACTTTGTAACAACCAAGGGATATGTAAATGAGCATCTGTGACAGTGTTTCCTCCGTGTTACAGAAGTTTCAGTAAAAAGTTGCCAGCAGGGCTGGAGAGATGGCTCAGAGGTTAAGAGCACTGACTGTTCTTCCAGAGGTCTTGAGTTCAATTCCCAGCACCCACATGGTGGCTCTCAACCACCCATAATGAGATCTGGTGCCCTCTTCTGGCATGCAGACATACATGCAGACAGAACACTGTATATTAAAAAAAAAAAAAAAAAAAAAAAACCACCTTCCCAGCATAGTGACTTACACCTGTGAACCAGGCATGGTGTTGACTGAGGCAGAAGGATCTGGAATACCAGGCCAGCCTGGGCTTCCTAGAGGGAACCTGTCTCAGATAAACCAACAGTTTTTTTCTCCAGACAAATCGTCCTTGAACTTGCTATGCAGCTAAGGATGACTTCGACCTTTTAATCCTCCTGCCAATATCCCTCTGTGAGAAGGTTTCTCTGTGTAGCCTTGGCTGTCCTTTTATTTGTTTGTTTGTTTGTTTGTTTATTGAGACAGGGTTTCTCTGTGTAGCCTTGGCTGTCCTGGAACTTGGTCTGTAGACCAGGCTGCCTCAAACTCACAGAGATCCCCCTGCCTCTGCCTCCCGAGTGCTGGGATTAAAGGCATTCGCCACCATCACCCAGCTAAAGTTTACATTTATTAGCCAGTTATGGTGGTGCATGCCTTTAACCTCAGCACTCAAGAGGCAGAGAGGCAGGAGCAGGCAGATCTCAGTGAGTTCCAGGGCAGCCAGGGCTACAAAGTGAAACCCTACCTCAAAAATAAATAAGATGAAAATTGCATTTATTTATTTTGTGGTGTGGGAGCATGTGTCCAGGTTAAAGATTAACTTGGCCTAGATTCTCTTCTTCCCCCTGTGGATTCTGGGGATCAAACTTAGATCCTCAGGCTTGGCCACAGGCTCCTTTACCTGCTGACCCACCTTGCCCCCCCACTTTCATTTCCACTGTCCCTCTTTTTGTCTTGTGACAAGATCTGGCTGTATCTTAGGCTGGCCCAGAGCTCACTATAGCCAGGCTGGCCTTGAACTTGTGATATTCCTCACAGGCGTGTGCCACGGCCTTGTTCTAATCTCCATGAAGTGAGGTGATCTTGGGCCACTACTGAAAACATGCCCGACAGTCGTTCTTATCGGTCCAGCTGTCATTCCAGGACTCTGGAAGACTCCCGAGCACCTTGGCTGTTCCTCCAGCGCTCGGTACACAGCGCCCCGCAAACACACATAGGATACATAAAAAGTGACCAGCACTTGAGAGGCTGAGCCAGGAGGTCTGCTGGGAGTTAGGACCCTCTTGGGCTACATGAGACGGTCTCAAAAACTCAAATCAACATATCCCCGCCCAATCTTAAACTAGTGGAGACCTAAATAAGGTATGGCAGAGCCTGCGTGTGCCTGGTGCCCTGGCTTGGGCGGAAGGTGCGCTGTCAGGGTGCCGTGTGGCTTTCTAACTCCACTCCGTTTGCTCCGGATTCTACACTGACCTTTGTCTTTCTCTTTATGCCCATAGAACTTCCCCGACGAGACTCTGAAGAGGCCGAACTGGGAGTCATTGGTGGACTGCACCCAGCGGTTCCTCCAGCGCTCTGTGGGGAGACAGGAGGGTTAGCGCGGCTAAGTGCTGGGGATCAGGAGCACGGACGGAGGACAAGGCCGCCAGCCACCACGGCCATCGCCTTCACCTCCGTCTAGAAACTCCTCCTGGAAGTACACAGTGGCCAGCGCCACGCGCAGCACGCAGATGGCCCAGAGCGACACGCGAGCCCGGGCCATGGCTGCGCGCGCGGCTCCCGCTCTTCTGCTTTCAGGCGTCTGCCTTGCCCGCTGGGCGCCACCCAGAAACTACAACTCCCGTCATGCCTCGCGATTGTGACCCTGCGTGGGCTCGCTGGACTACCGCTCCCGTGACGCCTCGCGATTGTGACTTGAGGCGCTCATTGGTGGGCGCGGCGCGGTGCCTGACGGGAGATGTAGTCTCCTGTGGCACTGGCGCGGTCTCCTGGGGCAACGGCACCCCGGGGCCTGTGCTTTGCGGCTGAAGCTAGATGCTGTCGTAGCAGCAGGTCAATGCGGGAAGAGGCCAGCGCAATTACTCAGGTGATCTAACAGTGAGCTGCTGGGTTCGCGGGGGACTGCGGGGAAAGAGGCGCCTTTCCCGCGCTTCAGTTTCCAAAACGGGTTTGGAGGGTGCCGGAGCTGATCCCGTAGGGCTTGCTCACAAAGGCGAGGGAACTGAGTGGCGGCAGTGTGTAATGCTTAGTTCCTTTACTTTGTGTGTTGTGTTAGTCGTTTTAGACCGCGTCTCTGGTAGCCCAGGCTAGCCTGGGGCTCCCTGTGTAGTCGAGGCTGGCTCCTCCTCTTTCTGCAGCACTTTCGAAGTGCTGAGATTGCGGTCATGCACCCCGCGCTCGTGAATATATAAAACTTTTTTTTAAAAGTATATACAGCCGGGCGGTGGTGGCGCACGCCTTTAATCC